TCAGCTCTCTAGGGCAGGTCTCCAGAGAGTCTGTCTGTCACTAGTGGCAGTTTCCACAGCAGCACAGGCTTTGCACGATGACACTTCACCCACCAAGACACGGCTAGCAACAGGGGAGTGAGGATTTAACCACTCTCTATGAGCCAGATGCATCTGGCCGATCCCTCTCAACGCCCATATTGGGGGAAAATGCTTCATTTGTCAGCCTCCACTCTGCTGCTTACCCCAGATCTCCTCTGGATGAGGTGTGGGCAGAGGAATGCAAAGTGCCTTCTGGGCACCAGAGGGCAGCAGGACAATCCCAGGAGAGTTTCCCGGACTGGTCCATCTTGCACCCAGCTGGCCACGGTTCATAGGCTGTGCCACTTATTTCCACTAATGGAGGAGAGGAGAAATTATTCAGTAAATGATGACGGGGAAAACAAGCTGTTTGGGGAAAAAATGGGAACTATCTCCTATCAAATACCTAAAGAAATTCTAGCTGCCTTTATTGTTAGAAATGAAACAATAGGCCTACTGCGGTGACTCATCCCAAAGTAATCCCAGCCCTTTGGGAGGCCAGGGTGGGCGAATCACCTGAGGTCAGGAGTCTCTATTAAAAATCGGGCGTAGTGGCGCACACCTGTAATCCCAGCTACTCAGGAGGCTGAGGCAGGAGAATCGCTGGAAATTGGGAGGTAGAGGTTTTGGTGAGCTGACATCGCACCACTGCACTCCAGCCTGGGCAACAAGAGTGACACTCCATCTCAAAAAAAAAAGAGAAATGAAACAATAGCTAAAAGAAAATGGAAGTCCAGGCACGATGGCTCACGCCTGTAATCCCAACACTTTGGGAAGCCAAGGCAGGTGGATCACCTGAGGTCAGGAGTTCGAGACCAGCCTGGCCAACATAGTGAAACCCTGTCTCTACTAAAAATACAAAAATTGGCTGAGTGTGGTAGTGGGTGCCTGTAATCCCAGTTACTCGGGAGGCAGAGGCAGGAGAACCACTTGAACTGGGGAGGTAGAGGTTGCCAAGATCACACCACTGCACTTCAGCCTGGGTGACAGAACGAGACCCTGTCTCAAAAAAAAAAAGAAAAAGAAAAAAATAGGAGAAAATACTGCCAGGTGCGGTGGCTCACACCTGTAATCCCAGCACTTTGGGGAGGCCGAGGTGGGCAGATCACCTGAAGTCAGCAGTTCGAGACCAGCCTGACCAACATGGAGAAATCCTGTCTCAACCGAAAATACAAAATTAGCCGGGCGTGGTAGCACATGCCTGTAATCCCAGCTACACGAATTGTTGGAGCCCAAGAGGCAGAGGTTGCAGAATTTACTATAGCCAAAGTATGGACAGGCACCCAGAAGACTCAGACCCAAATAATATTGTATATGAGTTCTGGTGAACTACCTGGGAATTTGTTACAAACAGGTTTTTAGGGCAAAAAAGAAAAAAAGAAAACGGAGTGGGCTGTTAGAAAGTTTGTCAGGAATTCCCATGGATTAGACATTTGCTATACATTCTTAAACTAGAGGGTGTGGATTACAGTGTCCCTGGGGCATTGTAAGGTTAATCTATAGCTATGTGGCAATATGAGGTACTTTCAAGTTATAAGTAAATAGCTCAATGGTGTGGGAAGCAGGGTGGGAAGTCCAAGGTGACCGCTGTGTCATTTTAATGTCTCTCTGGGCCTGATAATTTAAAAGAACTCCACATTCCTCAGATAGTTCCTTTCTCACTAAGAGGCCTCAGACTTTAGAATTCCTCAAACTGACCCAGGCATGGTGGCTCATGCCTGTAATCCTAGCACTTTCGGAGGCTAAGGAGGGAGAATCACCTGAGGTCAGGAGTTCAAGACTAGCCTGGCCAACATGGTGAAACCTCAGCTCTACTAAAAATACAAAAATTAGCTAGGTGTGAGGGTGGATGCCTGTAGTCCCAGTTACTCGGGAGGCTGAGGCAGGAGAATCGCTTGAACCCAGGAGGCAGAAGTTGCAGTGAGAAAAGATTGCACCATTGCACTCCACCCTGGGTGACAGAGCAAGACTCCATCTCAAAAAAAAAAGAAATTAAAAAAAAATTTAAAAATTAAAAATAAAGAAAAGCATAATAGTACAATAACACGCCAATGAGAGGAATACCTGGATGCAGTAAGATGCTCAAATCAGGGTCACCGGGAGCACTTGAAACCTCACCACCCCCACCCACACACCCGGTGTTTCCAACTTTACTCAGTCAGTCCGGAGTGGATGCTGGAGCATCTGCATCTCTTACAATCTCCCAAGTGATGCTGATGCTGCCACTCTGAGTACAAGTACCATGCTTTGAGAACAGCTGCCCTAAAGCACGGTAATAGTTGTTACACGTGCATCATCTCCAGCTGCAGGTACTTTAACAGTTTCCGTGGAGAAACTCTAACCTGCCAGAACAGGGGGTGCCTTATCCACGCATTTCCGACAAGCACCTAAACTGGAAGCAGTTCAGTATAGCAGCTCCGAAGAGACTGGGGAGCCAGTCTGCCCAGCTTCAGAGCCTGCTCTGACACTGGATTGCTGTGTTGGTCCGAGCAACTTACTCAACCACTCTCAGCTTGAGTGTCCTCAGAGTAAAATAGACGTACTAGCCCTTCCCCTCCAGCAGGGAAACCGGAATGAACAACCTACTCAAGTCATGAATGGGAAAGCATCACTTTCCCATTTCCCTGCCACCTACATTTTGAAAATGTAGGGGGGCAGGGCTCACACCTGTAATCCCAGCACTTTGGGTGGCAGAAGCAGGAGGATTCCTTGAGCCCAGGAGTTCAAGATCAACCTGAGCAACAACACAGCGACCCCCATCTCTACAAAAAAAAAAAAAAAAACTTTTTCAATTATCCAGGTGTTGTGGCACACACCTGGAGTCCCAGCTACTCAGGAGGCTAAGGCAGGAAAATTGCTTTAGCGCCGGAATTGGCGGCTGCCGTAAGCTATGAATGTCACTGCACTCCAGCCTGGGTCACAGAACAAGATCCTGTCTCAAAAAAAAAAAAAGTTCCTTGCCCTGACTGAAGTTGAGGAGACCATTTGTCTACTTCAAGTTATTATTTAAAGAAACCACACCCATATTCCTTCCTCCTCCACGCGCCTCTCCCCTAAAGAGAAAGGCCGCCAAACAACCAAGAGATCCTACACCCACTGAGTGCCCCACAACTGAAACGAGAGTAAGCGACTCATCCTCTCACAATCCGCTAGGTCAAGCCTGTCCAACCTGAGGCCCACAGGCCACATGTGGCCCAAAACAAATTTCTAAGCTTTCTTAAAACAGCATGAGGTTTTTGTGTGATTTTTCTTTTTTTTTTAAAGCGCTCATCAGCTATCATGAGTGTTAGTGTATTTTATGTATGGCCCAAGACAATTCTTCTTCCAGTGTGGCCCAGGGAACTCAAAAGATCGGAGACGCCGGGCCTAGGTTGTCCCATAATAAAAGGCAATATCATGTGGGAAAGGTGAAGTGGCAGAGGTCAAGAAACAGTGATCTAATAATCAACCAAGCGAGAGTGAAGCTCTTCAAAGATTCAGGCTCATGTAGTTAGTAGTCCAGGGTACATGACAGATTTTTTTTTCTCCGAGACAAAGGCTCACTCTGTTGCCCAGGCTGGAGTGCAGTGGCACCATCAGCTCACTGCAAACTCCGCCTCCCAGGTTCAAGCAATTCTCCTGCCTCAGCCTCCCAAGCGGCTGGGATAATAACAGGCGCCTGACACCACACCAGGCTAATTTTCGTATCTTTAGTAGAGACAGGATTTCACTATGTTGGCCAGGCTGGTCTCGAACTCCTGACCTCGTAATCCGCCCACCTCAGCCTCCCAAAGTACTGGGATGACAGGGTGAGCCACACAGCACCCGGCTAAGATGGAAATTTTAGGTATGACTGTCACCTGAGTCTTTCTCCGCCTGTTTCCTTGCACATGATGGGCAGGGCTGTGGGCCCTCCCAGCTCAGGGGCCCTCCCAGCTCAGGGGCCCTCGGGTGGTTTTAGGATGGTAGAACGCCTGGTAGGAACCACCTGCATCAAGACCACAGATGACCTCTCTGAAGGTTAGCGATTCCAGGGACCCCGCCCAGGAGCAGTCCTCCTAGGTAGAAGTGAAAATATTGGAAACGGGGAGAGAAGCTGGTCAAAGACAGACTCCAGTCGTGGCTGTGCATGTCCCAGTTAAAAGCAAAACCTGGAAGGTCCTGTTCAAGAACAGTGTCCCCATTCGTAAATTAAAAATGCTAGTGTTATTTTACCCACATGAAACTTGCCACAACGAGGTACCACGACCCACATGGACACACACAGTGAGAGTCACACAGAGAGGCTGGAGAGTCCTGGTCACTGAGACAAACGATGCAGAGACACCTGGACACAGAAAGACACAGCGGGACGTGGAGTTGGATGGAGCTGTCTGGTAAGGAATATCAAAAGGGGTGGGGACACTAGCGGGAGATGGCATAGGTCCAGGACACTAATTAGGCTTTGGCTGAGATTAAATAAAGGAAGATGTTCGTAAGCTGCTTACTTAAAAAGAAAGGAAAGGGTGCGTTTGAGTTCAGGGGACAGCGAGTCCCGGAGCAGGAGGTGGGGAGCCAGCGAAGGTGGGCGTGTAGGCGGTGCAGCCGCTTCTCCCGCCGGGCCAGAGACTCCCCCTTTCGGCAGCCTGGGTTCCCCGCCTTCCCACCTCCAGCTCCTCCTTCCCCGAGCCCTGAGGGCCCGCAGGGCCTCCAGCAACAAAGCCGCCGACCCTGCGCCACCAGTGCGGGATCCCCGCGTCCCCCGCGTCGCCATGCCCCGCGCGCAGGGGCGCAGGCGGAGCACACGCGGCCGGCGTGGTGCCACCCGCAGCAGAAAGCCCCAGCGTGGACCGCGTGGCACAGGAAAGCGCTCCCGTCGCCCCGGGCGCAGAAGGCGCGGGCAGCATCGGGCGCGGTCCTGGGAGAGCCCGTCTGCGAGGCAGGCGGCTGCAGGGTGACCCGGTTCGGGCGGAGACACTCACCAGAAGAACACGCGCGAGCAGAGGTTCGCGTCCTTCAGCGGGTTGGGCTTCACCTCCTGGTACACTGGCAGCATCTCGCCGGGCGGGGCGGGCGTGGGCCGAGGTCCGGCTGATCTGGCGGCGGTGGCCGCGGGCTCCGCTCCTGCACCGCGAGCAGGGATGCTGGCGCTCCGGCCGCCGCGCCGGTCCGCTCGGCTGGAGCCTGTGAGGCAGCCGCTTCCGGGAGCCGGGCGCCGGCGGCACGCCCCGTCCCCGCCTCTCAGGCCCGCCGCTAGCAGGGCCGCCTCGGGGGCGCAGTTTAACGCGCTGCCGCCTGGAACCCGGGAGCCGCGCACCGCGTGCGAGCGCGGCCGGGGACGACGGGTGACGCGGCGGGAGCAGGCAGAGCTGGCGACGCCAAAGGAAGCCCGGAGCTACGCCCAGGGGTGAGGCGAGGGCAGCGCGCGCCACTGGAGGGACGGGGTAGCCGAGAGCGCGGCGCAGAGGCCGGGTCCGGAGGTGCCCACGTGTTCGCACCCAACGGAAACTTTCCGAAATTCACCCTGCGAGTCTAGGCGCCGACCCAGAAGGTGGAGCAGGGAGGCGCCGGCTGTGCCCGCCCCTTCGACGCAGAAACGCCCCCTCGGCCACGGATTTGGGGACACTGGGAGACAGCTGCCTGGCGCTCCAGCAGCCCGCCCCCTGGGCGACTTGCCCTCCTCAGGACCAAACGAGGGTGCCATGGGAAGCTCTCCAACCTGTGAGCCAAACATTTGACCTCGGACAACAGCAAGGTTTAACACAGATTATCCTTACAGAGCTGCAAGACCTCAAGAAAGCCAGGTAACTCCAGAGTCGGACGCAGATGATTTGGAGAGCTGAGTGAATGCTGTCGTTGATTGGGGCGGGCTTTCGGCATCTCACATGTTGCATGCTACGGTGGACCTCTGAGCTTTTTGCTGCCCTCTTAGATTGGGAAAGGAAGATAAGAGAAAAGAGAGACTGCCTTATAATTTCTGTCTTCAAGCCCTAAAGCCTAACAGATAACGGTGGCAAACAGCACGTGTGTATGTGTGTGTGTGTGTGTGTGTGTGTGTGTGTGTGTGTGTGAGAGAGAGAGAGAGAGAGAGAGAGCGCGCGCGAGGGAGGACAGAGAGAGGGGAGAGGGAGACTCACTCTGCCGCCTAGGCTGGAGTGCAGTGGGACGATCATGGCTCACTGAACCCTCCACCTCCCAAGACTCAAGCAATCTTTCCAACTCAGCCTAAGTAGCTAGGACTACAGGCACCAGCTACTACGCCTGGCTAATTTTTTGTAATTGAGACACAAAAAAATCAAAGGCTCCAAGTTCATGATGCTGTAACAAAATCATTGTATTGTTCCTTGATGATTTCTCACTTTGTTGCCAGGCTGGTCTCAAACTCGTAGGCTCCGTTGATCCTCCCACCTTGGCCTCCCAAAGTACTAGGATTACTGGCATATACCACTGCACCCGACCAATCCTCTCACCATTAATTCTATCAGTGCCCCATTCAAGGTTTTCCTTATTTTATAGATGAGGAAGGTGAGGCTGAAAGGCAGAACTTGTCCAAGGTCTTAGAGCCAAGAAAGGATAAAAACGTGATTTGCCCTAAGCTTGGGTCTGAGCATGGCCTGTCTCCCTGGTGGATGGCCAGGGTGCATACGTGCCCAGAATATGCTGGTTGAATGGCTGTAGGAATGAATGAACAAAATCTTGTTCCAAGCTTTTGGACTCCCATCCCTAAGTCTTCAGTTATTCCTGTGGCTACCTTACCAAGCTCAGCAGTTGCTCTTCGTTTCCACCCTGAATGAAGAAAAGTGAAAGGCTCCAAATTCATGGTGCTTGGAACAAGATCATTTTATTGTTCCTTGTTAATTTCCCATGTATGTTCGCTAAGATAACATCATTAATATCTTTTAAAGAAAGCCTTACATGAACACGTTTTTAAAAGTCAAGCACAGGCTGGCCAACATAGTAAGGCCCTGTCTCCATCAAAAATTTTAAAAATTAGCCCAGGTGTGGTGGTGTGTACTTGTAGTCCCAGCTTCTCGGGAGGCTGAGACAGGAGGATGGCTTTAGCCCAGGAGTTCCAGGCCACAGGGAGTTAAGAAGGTACCCACAGGGCCAGGCGCAATGGCTCACGCCTGTAATCCTAGCTCTTTGGGAGGCTGAGGCAGATGGATCACCTGAGGTCAACAGTTCGAGACCAGCCTAGCCAACATGATAAAGCCCCATCTCTACTAAAATTACAAAAAATTAGCTGAGTGTGATGATGGACGCCTGTAATCCTAGCTACTCGGGAGCCTGAGTCAGGAGAATCACTTGAACCCCGGAGGTGGAGGTTGCAGTGAGTAACCCCAGAACTTTGAGAGGTAGAGACAGGAGGATTGCTTTAGCCCAGGAGTTCTAGACCAGCCTGGGCAATATAGGGAGACCTCAACTCTACTAAAAATGTAAAAATTAGATGGTGTGAGTCTGTAGTCCCAGCTACCCTGGAGGCTCAGGTGGGAGGATTGCTTGAGCCCAGGAGTTGGAGGCTGCAATAGGCTATGATCACAGTAGTGCACTCCAGCCTGGCAACAGAATGAGACTCTGTCTCAAAGAAAAAAAAAAAAAGACAAGCACATAAGAATGGCAAAATATTGATAATTTTTGAAGGCAGATGATGTGACATGGGGGTTTCTTTTCTTCTTATTTCATGCGTGTTTGAGAATTTGGTTTTCTCTTTGGAGATGGGGTCTCATTATGTTGCCCAGGCTGGACTCAAACTCCTGGACCCAAGGGATCCTCCTGCCTCAGCCCCTCCAAGTACCTGCGATTATAGGCACTTGCCAGCATACTAGCTCATGTTTCAGAATTTCTGTCACAAAAAGGAACACAATATTTTAATTTGACTATTATAGGAAAGCTATGATCATTCAATGACCTACTTTTCTAGTAGCTCTTTCTCAGACAAATGCAAGCTATAAACCAAAGTTTTTGTTTATATGTAAGCTATAAACCAAAATAGTCAGCCCTCACCTGATTTGCAGTGCTCTTTGAAACTCCCTAAGCTTTCTAGCCCAGTAAATGCTGAGCTACCAGTTCTACTTCCAAGCTAAAGACTCTGTTTGCTAAAGTTAGAAGTCTAGTGACTTCTCTTGTCGGTCTGTCCCAGAATGCTCTCTCTACCCCCAACAACTGTGTAAGAACCATAATTAGCCATCTCCAAACTGCCAAAGTGCTCAGTCCCTTCGGCTCCTGCAGAGGCTTATTTTTTTCTTAATTAAGATCTTTTGGAACTTCTTAACATTCTTTTCTGAACATTAACAATGTGGTATTTGGAAGAGCTTCTGTAGAGCAGTGTCTGACTGCAGAGAGGACTGGACATGGAACCAGGGGAACCAGGGCTCCAGGCTTTTCACTTGTTACCTAACCTTTCTGACCCTTATTTTCTCAGCTCTAAAATGGGGTCGGGGCCAGGTGCAATGGCTCACGCCTATAATCTCAGCACTTTGGTAGGCCGAGGCGGATGGATTACCTGAGGTCAGGAGTTCTAGACCAGACTAACCAATATGGCGAAACCCTGCTTCTACTAAAAATATAAAAATTAGCTGGGTGTGGTGGCATGTGCCTGTAATCCCAGCTACTCAGGAGGCTGAGACAGGAGAATTGCTTGAACCAGGGAGTTGGAGGTTGCAGTTAGCGAAGATCACGACACTGCACTCCAGCCTGGCAACAGAGCGAGACTCCCTCTCAAAGAAAAAAAAAATTAGCCAGGCATGGTGGCATGTGCCTGTAGTCCTAGCTACTTGGGAGGCTGAGGCAGGAGAGTTGCTTGAACCCAGGAGGCAGAGGTTGCAGTGAGCTGTGAGCCATGAGCCAAGAGCACGCTGCTGCACTCCAGCCTGGGTGACAGAGCTAGACTCCATCTCAGAAGAAAAAAATTCTCTTCTTTTCTGTGTGATTTCTGTTTCTTTCTTTTTTTTTTTTTGAGACAGAGTCTCATTCTGTTGCCCAGGTTGGAGTACAATGGCACAATCTCAGCTCACTGCAAGCTCCCCCTCCCCGGTTCAAGCAATTCTCCTGCCTCAGCTTGCTGAGTAGCTGGGATTACAGGTGCATGCCACCATGCCCGGCTAATTTTTGTATTTTTAGTACAGATGGGGTTTCACCATGTTGGCCAGGCTGGTCTCAAACTCCTGACCTTGTGATCTGCCTGCCTCAGCCTCCCAAAGTGCTGGGATTACAAGCATGAGCCAACATACCAAACCATTTCAAGCATTTTTCTACAAGACAAAAGGGACAAATGGCATTCACAATTTAAACATATTCTCATGAAGATCCCTAGTTTCCAAAATGGTGACAATTGCACTGTCACTCCACTTTCAGGTAATAGATTCCAACCACCCCATAACCTCAGGGATTGGCACCTAACTCAAAAGTACCAATCATGGCCGGGCGAGGTGGCTCACACCTGTAATCTCAGCACTTTGGGAGGCTGAGGCAGGTAGATCACCTGAGGTCAAGTGTTCAAGACCAGCCTGACCAACATGGAGAAACTCCATCTCTACTAAAAATACAAAATTAGGCCGGGCACAGTGGCTCACGCCTGTAATCCCAGCACTTCGGGAGGCTGAGGTGGGTGGATCACGAGGTCAGGAGTTCGAGACCAGCCTGGCCAACATGGCAAAACCCTGTCTCTACTAAAAATACAAAAATTAGCTGGATGTGGCATTGGGCACCTATAATCCCAGCTACTTGGGAGGCTGAGACAGGAGAATCGCTTGAATCCAGGAGGTGGAGGTTGCAGTGAGCCAAGATTATGCCATTGCACTCCAACCTGGCAAAAAGAGCAGGACTCTGTCAAAAAAAAAAAAATTCAAAATTAGCCGGGTGTGGTGGTACATGCCTATAATCCCAGCTACTTGGAGGCCTGAGGCAAGAGAATCGCTTGAATCTTGAAGGCAGAAGTTGCAGTGAGCCAAGATCACGCCATTGCACCCTAGCCTGAGCAACAAGAGCGAAACCCCATCTCAAAAAAAAAGGTAGTCAGTCATAACATGCCATGCTCTGTCCAAAGTGATGGGTGATGGTTACCAGAGTCTGGTAAGGGTAGTGGGGTTGGGGGAGGTTTGGGGGGCAAGTGGGGATGGTTAATGGGTACAAAATATAGTTAGAATGAATAAGACCAGGCGCAGTGGCTCACACCTGTAATCCC